CCAGACCCTTCTCTAATGCTCCGACAATCCATCAAGCGGTGCAGCTCTGTAGCTTACCAAAGTCGTACTAAAACATTTTTTGACAGATTGCTGAGCGCTATGTACCACATAAAATTGCTTCGCGGTCATCAAGCACAACCAGAATTCATACAGAAAGGCGCGCTGTTAACTTTTGAGAAAATTAAAGGATTTTAGGCTGTACAGCCCCTGTGGGCTGCATGTTGTTAGCTCGCGGTTAGCGCAGTTAGCTCGCTAACACGTTGACGCTGTCCAGCCCCACGCATGGGGCGATGCGCGGTAACTCATTAACGGAGATTTGCTGTGTCCATCCTGTCGTTGCCTGCAGGTGAAGCTATGGGGGAGGAGGGGGAGTTGTGTTCAGTGAAGGAGGGGCGAGGCCGAGTAACGTTGTGTTGAGACAAAAGTGGACGAAAGAGAGGCAAACCTGTGTGTCCACAAGTATAATTATGATGTAACATATACTATATCGATATAAAAGATATTGTCACATCTTATATCTTGTATAAAAATATATCGATATTTCTAAGAAACTTGATATATCGCCCAGCCCTAGTCTGAAATCATTTTCTTCACTTGTAGTGCGAAAGTGTTGAGTGTGGATGTAAAAGTGGAAAATCAATTTAGACAAAAAGATTAAAAAAAGCAAATGCTTATGAATATCACTACAAGAAAAGGGACATTTTATTTATTTTCTTGCTTTCAGGTTTTTAATCCCTTCAGAAGGATTCCACCTATAAGGAGAACAAGTGACAGGAGAACTAGGTTCAGTGTGGAGGAGGCAGAGCTGCAAACATGGAGCAGGATGAAGTCGTGGAGAGTGTTAAACAAAAGCTTAAAGAGCATCTCCAGGAAAAGTTTACCTGGATAAATGAGGGCACATCGGATAATCGGTCTCGACTTGACAGCATCTACACAAAACTCTACGTCACTCAGCAGGCTCAGGATTTTGGTTCCATATCACATGAGATTCTTGATCACTTTAATGTCCCAGATCAGCAGTCATCAATTTCACAGTTCTTTTATCAACAGATCGATTTCTTAAATATCTTTAAACCAGGAAGAATTCAT